CCTCCAGCCCCCACTCAATTCACCTCCAGCCCCCACTCAATTCACCTCCAGCACCACTCAATTTACCTCCAGCCCCCACTCAATTCACCTCCAGCCCCCACTCAATTCACCTCCAGCCCCTTTAATTCACCTCCAGCCCCCACTCAATTTACCTCCAAACCCCAATCAATTCACCCCCAACCCCCACTCAATTCACCTCCAGCCCCTTTAATTCACCTCCAGCCCCCACTTAATTCACCTCCAACCCCCGCTCAATATACCCCCAACCTTCACTCCAGCCCCTCTAATTTCCTAATTTAGCCCCCAACCCCACTCTAGCCCCCCTAATTTAGCCCCCATGTGGGTCCGACAGAGTCGTCGGTCTGCTCACTGTCGTCGGCGAGCAGCGGCGTGAGCGAGAGCTCTGGCGCCACAAGCTCGGGGTCTGCAGGCAAGACCGGCGCCAGGGGTCTGGTGTCCCCCGAGCAGACCAACCTGGACTTCAAGATCGTGTGGGAGCAGAAGACCGGCCCGCCTCTCATCATCCATCTTGTTGCCCCCACCATGCAGGAGAAACAAGCCTGGATCAGCGACATCAGTCAGGTGCAGCCATAGGCCTGCCATCAGTAGGCTTGTGTCTTGACACTCTGATGTTGATTGACAAGTTCCTTGACGTTCAAACGTATTAATTCATAACTGTCTGTATCCTGGAAGGTATTAATTACCAGCTCTCTTAACATATGTTAACATATAAATGCCTTGACCCTCGGACGTATTAATTGCTGTGCTCCTTGACACTCGGAGGTTAAATTCCTAACTGCCTCGACACTCGAACGTTTTAATTTCTAATTGCCTTGACCTTCGGACATAATAATTGCTAGCTGCCTTGACCCTCGGACGTATTAATTGCTAACTGCCTTGACCCTCGGACGTATTAATAGCTAAATGCCTTGACCCTCGGACGTATTAATAACTAAATGCCTTGACCCTCGGACGTATTAATAGCTAAATGCCTTGACCCTCGGACGTATTAATTGCTAGCTGCCTTGACCCTCGGACGTATTAATAACTAAATGCCTTGACCCTCGGACGTATTAATAGCTAAATGCCTTGACCCTCGGACGTATTAATTGCTAGCTGCCTTGACACTCGGACGTATTAATTTCTAACTGCCTTGACACTCGGACGTATTAATTGCTAGCCGCCTTGACACTCGGACGTATTAATTGCTAGCTGCCTTGACACTCGGACGTACTAATTGCCAGCTGCCTTGACCCTCGGACGTATTAATAGCTAACAGCCTTGACCCTCGGACGTATTAATTTCTAACTGCCTTGACCCTCGGACGTATTAATAGCTAACTGCCTTGACCCTCGGACGTATTAATTGCTAGCTGCCTTGACACTCGGACGTATTAATTGCTGGCTGCCTTGACATTCAGACGTATTAATTGCTAGCTGCCTTGACCCTCGGATGTACTCAGTAATAACTTTCTTGGCACTCGTACGTATTAATTTCTAACCGCCTTCACACTCGGACGTAGTAATTTCTATCTGCCTTGACACTCGGACGTATTCATTAATAAATGTCTTAACACAATGACGTAGTAATTTCTAACTGCCTTGACGCTCGGACGTATTATTTTCGAAATGCCTTGATACTCGGACGTATTTCATTAAAAACTGTCGTAACACATGGACTTAACAATTCTAACTGTATAGATCGAAACTATCACTTTTTAATTCCTAACTGTTTCGGAGTGTTTCGACCCCTACACGCATCAATTCCCAATGTCTTGCAATGCCAACATATTAATTTTAAACAAACTCTGCTCTTGTATGTCATTTAACGTTATCTAGACCACTGAAAGTTTCACTGCCTGAACACAACAAAGATTTAAACTGTGAATAGGCTACATTAAATATAATTCTCTACATCCTAATTAAGAATAGGAGTAATATCTTTTTAAGCACATTAATTAGAGCCCTTAATGAGGCTTAATGACAGTTTCTAATGTGAGGTCAATGGCGATGCAGTGCCTGAACAACGTGCACTTCAACAACCTGTTCCAAGTTTCACTGCTTGAGCACAAGAAACGATTTAAAACTGTGATCAAGCTACATTAAACTTAATTCTAATTATCTACATCATAATTAAAAATGAGAGTAATATCACCTAAGACACATTAATGAGAGCCCTTAATGAGACGTAATGACAGTTTCTAATGTGAGGTCAATGCTGATGCAGTGCCTGGACAACGTGCACTTCAACAACCTCTTCCAAGTTTCACTGCTTGAGCACAAAAAACTATTTAAAACTGTGATCAAGCATCATTAAACATATACATCTATATCATAATTAAAAATGAGAGTAATATCACCTAAGACACATTAATGAGGGCCCTTAATGAGACGTAATGACAGTTTCTAATGTGAGGTCAATGCTGATGCAGTGCCTGGACAACGTGCACTTCAACAACCTCTTCCAAGTTTCACTGCTTGAGCACAAAAAACTATTTAAAACTGTGATCAAGCATCATTAAACATATACATCTACATCATAATTAAAAATGAGAGTAATATCACCTAAGACACATTAATGAGGGCCCTTAATGAGGCATAACAACAGTTTCTAATGTGAGGTCAATGCTGATGCAGTGCCTGGACAACGTGCACTTCAACAACCTGTTCCGTTCATCCATGTCGGACACGTCATCCATCACCATGCCGCACTGCATCAAGAACGACCCTCGTCTCTTCACCGACGATGTCGACATCCGCTTCTCACGCACCCTCAACTCGTGCAAGGTCAGGGTACTTACAAAATAGGGTGAAACTTGGCACAAAACTCCAAATAATGAAATTTTTGTCTTGTAAAATAGTGAAACGTTGTCCAAATATTGAAACTTTTGTCTTCTTTTAATAGTGAAACTCAAAATAGTGAAACTTTTGTCTTTGTGTAATAGTGAAACTTTGTCCAAATAATGAAATTTTTGTCTTTGTGTAATAGTGAAACTTTGTCCAAAATGTGAAACCTTTGTTTGTGTGGACAATCTGAATCTGTTCAGTGTGGCTAGCAGGGCGTATCAGGCAATCATGTATGTCATGAAGTGGATTTTGCATGGAATTTATTGCAATGGCTGCGTATTGTATTGTCTTCATTGCAACTATGGACGCTATTGTAGAATATCTTGAACGGGATGTGGTTGTCAGCGATGAAGTGGCCGTTGATTATTATGACGTCAGGATAGGTGTTATTGTAAATGTTTGCTAATATAATTTTTTTGTTGGACCGGTGTCAGACGTGTCGTAGCATTTTTAGTGTAGATGGGAGATCATTGCATGGGGTAGAGGGTGTTTACATGTAGATTGTTTCGTATTTTTTTATAGTTATGAATGAGTGTCTATCCATGGTTAAGAAGGTGTCATGAGAAATGTTCTTGATTGTGAGTCTGTTGAATTTTAGTTTGTCACGTCACAAATACTCGATTACTTTAGAAGAGTCTAGGTCTTTCACTTTGAACTTCAGTTCTCTTTTCCTCAGTTCGTCAATGGAACATGTTCTGAGGGACTTTAGGGATTTGGTTGGCTTTTGTGTCACTTCTAAATGGGTTAACGGACATTTTTTCGTCGAGTCCTGGCGTTGAGAGGGGAAAATTGGCATTGAGATTGGAGATTCTTGGCATTGAAAGGTGATTTTTGGCATTGAGATTGAGGTGATTCCTGGCATTGAGAGGTGATTCCTGGTATTACTCGTCATTTATTCTTCACTTTATTGGGTCGTGGTCTTCGTAATGGGTCATGGTCGACGAGAGTATAAGTTCGTTGTTGGGGATTTCGTAGTAGGTTTGATGATGAGTCTATGTCGGCGTCACCGTCTATAAATTCGGTTCTGAGGTTGAAGTCGTAATTGTCTGAGTCTGTTTTGCGCTTGCCTTGCTTGTAAAAAAGTTGAACATCTTGGCTTAGTCCAGAGGCCATACTTTCAAAAGTTGCTAAGTGAACGTAAGTACCTGTCTCTTATACACATCTAGATGTGTATAAGAGACAGAGACTAGATGATGTGTCATGATGATGATGGAGGTGAGACTAGATGATGTGTCATGATGATGATGGAGGTGAGACTAGATGATGTGTCATGATGATGATG